AGCAGTTTTTAAGTATAACCCTGAAATCTTTGAAGATAAAGTCAAATGTGCTTGTCTATTTGCTAAAAAACCGTAAAAATTAATGAAAGATATTGTGATCATTACGAGACAGTACTGATTGTAGTTATTTTAGAATATCGAAAACTTTCCAGAATGTGTACTAACTGTGTATTAATGTGTCAGTACAGACCGGTGTAACCGCGGGCTACTTAATTCCCGTTGGTGCCATAGCCAGATATATGCATATTTATATATATATATATATATATATATATATATCTCGCTGGGCGTCTATATAATATAATATAGTCTTGAATCCAACGTGGCAGGACCGGACTCACCCCCTTCTCTTGAATTATTTTTGGGTTTGTCATCAGTGTTTGCTTCACCGGAGAGTTAGTCAGAAATATAAATTAACACACGAAGTTTTCTTTGTTACAGCCACATCAGAACTAACGACCTTTTAGGTGTGAGTCGGGATTAGGCTACGACGCCTTCAAATGATTGAACTTGATTATCATAAAATTAAGATTAACCAGATTGAAATAAGCATTAAAATTAGTGATGAAATCACATTAAGCTCACTATCAAAATTTTCTACAAATTAACTAAAACTGCAAAATAAATATAATACGATTCACGACTATAGCTCAAACAATAGATATTAAAGACTACTTCACACATGCCTCCAGATGTAACATCATACAATTAACTTGATTTATATGACAGAAAAGACAGATTGTGCTGTCATGGCCCGCCTCAAATTGTTGTTACACTTTTTTTTTAAACGCATGAGAAATTTTCCGTACGGCTGATATTATGAACGGTATTTTTGTGAGCATTTAACGAAACATTTACATTTAAGTATAGTGTCAGGAAGCCGTCCATGATAATTATATTTAGAAGATGAACTTGTTTGTGATTAACCTCACTAGTACCGTTTAATTATATAAGTTTAATTTATTCAAACAAGATAATACATAAATGCGTTTTATATATTGATGATAGGATAATAAATTATTCTTGTTACATATTTGTAATATAATAATATCCTTGGACAATTCACACTTAGTATCAACCTAAGTAGAGCTTGGGTTAAGAGTACTAGACAACAGATATAAACAAATAAGTAAATACAAAAATACTTTTTTTTAAATACATACATAATATACATAGTGAGCAACAACATCGATACAAACAATCATGCTCATTAATGTATATTTTGGTACCGTGAGAGGAATCGAATCAGCGACCATCGGAAGTTAAGCGATGTGCTAAACCGTTAGATCACCGAGGCCGACAAATATTAGTTAGCTAACACATAATAACAATTTTGTAGTCTTTCTCCGCGTTTCAAATAAAGAAAAGTTTTGCAGTTAAATTCAAAATGACGTTAAGAGTGTATTTTTTTTTACACTTTGAATATATGCTAATCAGAGTCAGTATTATAAATGCGAAAGTGAGTTTGTTTGTTACGCTTTCACACTTTAACGGCTTAACTAATCATAATGAAATTGTGTTTATATAGCTTTAGACTGTTTGAATGTTATGTACTTATAAAATTTACATAGTGTAATCCTTTTCCGTACAACGATATAGGCAGAAAAGGCAAGATTGATTAATCTTGCCTGTCGATTATGATCATATGAGCGAAAGTTAGAACCAGAAATTAATTATATATATATATATATATATATGTATAATTTTTATAGGTTTTGCAGCGTCTATCGTATGTATAGAAATATTTCAGTAAAATAAATTTCATAATATCTTTTTTAACAAATTATATTGGAATGTTGCACCTTTCTAACAGTATAGGCTGGCTGGGCACCAGTGGAGAATGATAAGATGGACAAGAGTTCGTGTAATTTAGTCCATTGTGGCAAATTCACCAGGAATTTATCACGATGGTTTCCACAGGGAACCGCGTGGAGGTGAACCTAATGGACTTTCGGCTTATTAATCCACATTACTAACAATCCCATTTCCCCATTACATTTAGTACTACTAGGACAATTTACATTAACATGAGATGATTTGAAACCTTAAAATCATGTGTATAGTAATAGGTAAATATTACGGACCCGTCGGAAACAGACGCGTTCTAATAAAACATTCAAACTGCATACACCTGCAGCATGCGTACGTAAGTAGGTACTTGTTTCGCGGAATGACAAAAATGATGAATCATAATTACTACGTTTGAAATCTGTAGGTAAAAATGTCTAGACAACTTCTGAAGCCTAAATTAAGTTGTAGGTTGTAGGGACACTCTACTTAAGTGGGTAAAATTAAATTGTCTTATTTTTAGATTTGACCTTTTCTGGTATAACAAAAAATGTACAAACTCCTAACCCTTTTCGTCCTATACAATCAAAAGTTTAACCTTTACCCACAGTCACTTTTTTTTAATTGTTGTCCAAGGCTACAATGTCACAAGAAAATATTAAAGTATATAGATAAATTGAAAAATAACAAACATTTTCAGTTGCGAACATCTGCTAATCAAGTTACATGTGTTAGTACCCTTTCAACACTACAATATTAAGTTTAGCCGAAAAACAAACAAACGTTGATTGAGTTGGCGGGGACCGGTTTTGTGAATGCATTCAAAAATAGGGGAGTTTTAATTTGGAAAACCATTATTTCAACCATAACGTTTAGCAAGTATCGTCCGCGAAGGGAGCGGAGAATGGTCAGTTAATTGATCCATAAATCACAGACGCGAACCATTATTACAAGGTTCCGTTGTCGGTCAACAGATGGGGTCATTGTCAGGAGTATTTTTGTCTATATTGCTAATGGCGTTAAATTGTTAATAACCGGTTGACATAGAATAGTTTTGTGACAGTATATTACGTGCTATTAAATTTTAAATATATGTATATTTTGGTCTCGTGCTGCTAAATTGAAATAAAACATTTTTATAAACAATAACTATTTATGATATTTATTGTTAAGAATAAGTATGTCATAAAAAATACTTTTGTTTATTATAATTATTGTTAATAATAAAGTTAAGTTACTAAAAATCTTATTAGTTTGTTGGTAATCTGGCAGAATTAGAGGTCTATTGTAATACCTACTCAGGATTCCTTAGAAAGAAGCCCCTTCCATGTGAGTTTGTTATGTCATAACAAACTCACATTTAGACCGGCCTCTATGGTGTAGCAGTTTAGCACACTGCCGTACTTCCTATGGTCACAGATAAGATTCCTCACACGATACAATTATTTGCGCACGTGATTGTGTACTGTCCAATTGTCCATTACACAAGCTCTGATTAGCTTGTAAAATATTTTGTATATCCGTATTTATTCCATTCTGTTACCATAGTTTTATCTACACATTATTTCCTTCACTGTTATCTTGTCCTGTTCTCGTGTCACATATTCCATATATTATATTTATTTTTCCGTTGAAACCATCGGTATTGAGCCGACCTCCGGTACCACATACCGTCCTAAGCTATCTATAATTGATATTTTCAGTTAAATATAAAAGAAAACGGCTCGTGGATACGTAATCAATTAATTTTTTTTTAAATACTATTATGGTGCATACACATTTACTCTTACGTTAACGGTTTTAAGTTAGCGGGGTACCAGTGGAGAATGATAAGATGAGCATGAGATCAGATCAGTCAGCCCATCGTTGCAAATTCACTTTGAGTTTGTCACGATGGTGTCCAGGGGAACTGCGTGGAGTTAGTCAACCTGGCGTACATCAGCACAGCTGGCAGTGGGGCTATTAGTCCACGTTACTAGAGATCTCCTTCCCCCATAATCAATTCCGTTATTAAATGTTCATATTTCATACTGAAATAATTTTCTAATGACCTATGATCATGTCCAGATAAATGCGCCAATTGAGAAAAATGTAACGAATTAAAAATCGGTCAGTAGGTCACCTTTCACGTCGGAAATTCTATGCTCATCTATCGAAGACAACATCGGGTCAGCTTACAACAGATCAAATCAGCTAATAACGGGTTTTTAATGTAATTTGAGTTAAATGCAATAATGGAAACTGGTCGCAAAGTCCTTTGCAAAATTTGACCCAAACAGACTAAGTATTTGGTACATAATAAGCTTTTAAAATAGCCCTTATTATGTGTATTAACTTTGATTGTCATTAATGTCATGATCATCTAAAAGCCTATGCATCTGTACAATATAAATAAATGAAGTACCTACATATTTTATCATAAGAATTCCGAACGAACGAACGGTATAAAAGAACAAGGATGAAAATCCTCGCATAAATCCTATCTGCCAACATTTCTGTCATAACGAGCGGTATTGTTACCGTCAGTACATGAGCATCCTACATTGTTGATCTCGTGAGATGAAGATGTTTATATTTTAAACTAGCTTGCCACTCCGGCATCGTAGGTGTATCTGTAGGTAGGTACATAAGCTAAGCTATCTATGTAAGAAACTGGACAATTGAATGTTAATCTACCACTATTGTTATTAATACCTATTTGATTTTTTCGCAAAATTATACTATTTTTACTATTCTATACTATTTTTCAAGCATTTCCTTTCATACAAATATTATCCTTAACAAGTAACAGAGTATATAAAAAAGCTATTAGTATTAGATAAAAAAATAAATTACAAACAATGTAGTAAAAATCGCAATACAATTAATTGACTTTAATAATATAATTTTTCTATAGGTTTATTTACGACTTTTCAAACATTTACTTTCATACAAATATCATCCGTAACAAGTAACAGAATACATAAAACAAACTATTAGAATTGTATAAAAAAATTACAAACAATAAAATAAAAATTGCAATTTATCCGGTACTTGCTTACATGAATTTATCAAAAATTGTATTAATTTAATAATTTATCCTACTGCAGGTGAAACAAATAAAAATATTAACTTGTTAAATTAAATCGCCATCTCAAATAGCGCCATCTATTGGATTAGCGCTGAACTAACACGCCAAGCATTTTGCTAAATAGTTCTTACTTTGTCCACAGGCGGCAGCACGTTTCGGCGCCATGGAGCTCCACAACTACAGGCGGCACTCGTGCTCAGCACGAACTGTTTGAGTTGCTTGAGCGTGTACAATGTTCTCGACTTGACGACCAGAGGGCGGTACTGCCACCTTACTTTTCTCAGGTAAGTCCTGTTCCAGTAACATAATTTCTTGGCTTATTAATTAATTTTAAATTTTAAATTTAATATCACCCGATATTTAGTAGTATAGGGAAAAAATCCTGATTTAATTGTAATTAGGAATGCAACTTTTAAAGGTACCTATCCAACATGTTTTACTACATGTAGTTCAAATTTCAGGTATATGATTAAGAATAACAATTCAATTAAAATATGATCTTTCCGTTCTTGTTTGCGAATAAGTAAATATTTTTTAAATATTTTAATTTATTTTCTTATAGCTCTTAACCACCTCTTTCGTTCGCGTAAATATTAACTTTTATCTATTACACGAAATAAAAATTCTGAATTTAAAGTAGCCTAAGTACTGCTGTTTGTAATACAAACTGACACTTCGTATTCATTCGCTGGTAGGTTTATATAACATTTTGTGCCCATACCGCGTGTTGCCTAATATGGGAAAAAATCTATAATGTCAATCTGGAATATGATAACCGTAGCTATTTAAATAAGCGTAATATAATTTATTTCTTTGTAAGATTGTTCAACAAAGATCCAAACAATTTTTATAAACTTTCTCATTTGTAGATCATAAAAAAATTATGAATAAGTACTAAGATATATTTTGCGATACTACGTCACGGTCAAACTGAACCGCGTCTCAGAGCCAACGGTCAAAGTTCGTTAACTTGATACGAATAATTGACGGAAACCGACGATGGGATAGTAAAGGTAGAGACCGGACCGGATGCGACGCCACCGAGGGTGTCAACCGGAGCATGTCGAAGAAACCATTGTTGGCCGGTGCGCGGTTAATTTCAACTACCGCTGAATTTACTTACAAGCGAGTTTTTTGTCTGTACTTCTCAGCTTACATATGGATAAAATAAATTATACATACATACCTAAATGACTAATGGCACTAGATGGACCTGTGTGAATATAGTCTTGAGATACTAATATTATTACATTATTAAATGTTTTCGTACTCAAGATGAAATATGAAGAGAATAAGTAGATTAGTATATCTATTATACTAGTGTATGTTACATAATACTCTAGTGAGACCAATTAATTGCTTTAGTTAAACAAAAGTTGCTTTAGTAAAACTTATTAAACTTTGAGTATGAAAGTGAATAGACACCTTCCAAATATGGAGTTAGCGTAAAATGTCTTTTGTGTGTTAAGTTAATAAACTCATTTTTTTAAACTTGAGTCACTATTAGGCCCTTGATTACTTCGCAAAATAAATGATAAATTGATGATAAAAGGAATCGAGAATGCAGCACGTCGAGTTTGATCGGCATAATGTAAACCTTTGCAAATGTAATACGAACTAACGCAACAACCTTTCCATGCTTACCTTTGAGGTCGCCGGTGACAGAAATAAATGCAGGAACATCATTTGAGTAAGGGCAGACCTGTTGGAGGTCACGACCCTCAGTCCTGCATAAGGATACCAACCGACAGACAAAGTAGAAAGGATATAACAGAAAAGTACGAAAGAGACAGGAGGTACTGTCCTGTCTTCTAGTACATATATTTGAGATGGAATTAATTTAACATAAAAAAGATGTTATTATGAGTTGTTTAAACTTAAAAAGATCATTGGTATAAGAGTCTTTATCTTTAAAAGTGGAAATAGAAAAAGCGTAAAGAAAGACGTGAAAAAAAATCTTCAATTTTCCACTTACGTGATGCTTATTCCTTATACATTTTGCAAGCAAATATTTAATTACAGAAATTTAACAAGAATATTTCAATTTTCAACCGACATCGCAAAGTCACCAGTAAACATCTTTGAATATTCAGTAGTAGATCTACCACTTTCTTGTTCGCAATTGCGGGCTGTAACAAACATTTTATTAAAAGTTTAATGTTTCGTTTCAGGATTTCATTATAACAAATACACAGCGGTACACTTTTTAATTTACTGGCAATAAAACAATGAACGATTTAAGGATTTTCTTCCCTGGTTATTAGCATCTGCTACATATTTATGAGAAACAAATGTCGACCGCTGAACGTTGCATATTTTGTTCTAATTATACGAAATTATAGGGATGTTTTTAAACAAAGCAATACAATTTAGACCTCATTCTATATAATATTTTAGTATGATTCATTTAGATATACATTTGCGTAACATCATCGTGGCTAAATCTACTATTCGGGCATATAAAATCCTAAACAACTTTTTTGTTGTGTATATATATTAAATATTTCTTTTAATTTAAATTTCGATCATTTTTTTAATGACTGATAATGAAATGGTGCACCCGCTTGCACTAACAGCAGGTATACACTGGCGCGGGGCACTAGTGGAGAATAACAGGTGACCATGAGGTCAGGTCAGCAGTACATTGAAATGACTTCGAATTAACCACGATGTTTTCCAGGGTACCGCGTGGAGTTTGACCTGATATTGTACATTGCTAGGGCCCTTACCCTTTACCCACTATACCCTTCAATTTTGGACTAATTTAGTGCTAACCAAACACTGTTAACAGACAATGGAGAATGAGTAGTGTAGTCTCCGGCCTGTATGTATCTAAAATTCCGAAAAATCTGAATGATAGTGCTCATTTAAGATTACGTACACTCGAGTATTATTGTGAGAAGATTAAACAATTCAAATTACTTTGCTTGAAGGTACAAATGAATTAGTGACAGCAATTACGCAATTGATAAACATGAAAACGCTTCTAAATGTTGTAAACAAACACTTTATGAATTAATTATACCTATTGAAATATTCAAGATAATTATTATACGAATTGTACAAAATATTATAGTCCAGGCATGATCTCCATTTAGAGAATAATGTCAGATTTTTGTAGCTTATGTAGAAAATAAGAAACTTAAAACTATTATTTTTAGAAAGACGATTTCTATTTTAGGACTTCTGAACACTATAAAAGAAGTAATAGAGCATCCGTTAGATAATTTATAACATACCATCCAATCCACTAATGGATACCGTGGTTTTATTATATTTACATATGGTTTAAAGGCGGTAAGACGGAAGCATGCATTATCAACAGAATTAACTCTATCCTTTGTTCCGAGAATTTAGCTCATTTGAAAATGCGTCCATTTACAGCAGTTCATAATGAGACGAGCTCGACTCGTAATATGGGATTATCTCGTGTCTTAACGTGTACATCTAAAATTCATTAGTACATGTAAGGGCTAAGGGCAAGGATATTAAAGTACAGGGTTTATTTTTACATCTAAAAATAAATACCCCTCAATCAATCTCGAGTCTAGTAGACAGCCATTGGTGGTTTATTACAACATGACAAATCAAAAATTTATTTGATTTAGTTGTAATGGACTTTTTCCTAGTAGGGGTAGTGTTCAATCGTATATATGAATACTGCATTACTCGTATATGTATTTATAATAATTTATTTATTAAAAGAAAACCAAGGCTGACTATACAGAAATAGAACCAATATAAACGATATACTAATCCACTGACAGGCTTTCACAAATAACAACTAATTATACAAATATATACATTTGTATAAATTCCCTATTTCTACTCTTGTTCCTTTATTAATATCATATTCTGTGTTAATTTTATAATGTGTTTTGGCCTTTAGATGTAGTAATGTCAATTTTTTTAAATTAGTTGTTATTAGTAGAAATAGGGAATTTATGCAAATGTATATATTTGTATAAATTCCCTATTTCTACTCTTGTTCATATACATGATCTTCAATAATAATTAATTGTTATATATTATAATTACAGTGCAATAAACTTTGAATAAATAATTTAAGTATAATTACAACTGTGACAGATTAAAAAATGTTTTGTAATTTCGGTTTTCATTACAAAATCAGTTTATAAATAGTAACGTAGATCTATTAGAATATAAATTGAACTATTCCCCTTTGACCGCAAACTTAATTGATCGATGCAGTCATGCAGTAGACTAATTTGTGACAATAACGTATTCGCCATTTGTGTGTATGGATCACCAATGTACCTCTATATTATGTTAATATGGTAATAATTTTAGCCAAATGAAACAATTAAATTCTAGACTCTCATACGTAATGTAATCTTTAGTCACTTGTTTTTTATTTAATTAATATTACATAAGTATTGTTAAAGAAACGTCAATTTCAACACTGTTTATTGTGCATTATCCTATTCATTTCGATTAGGAACTTAAAAGATAGTCAAAGGAAAATCCTGATGAATGGAGTTTTATTCGAATTAATTAATTCATTCCAATAAAGTACAAACATATGTATCTATAAGTGTCCATTTAACTTTGTTTCTAACAAATATGTATTTCAAATATTCTATCGATCTATTGTCCCATACATAAGTACAAATGAACTGGATTATCTATCGTCAATACGTTAAAAAATAATAACTTATAAAAATGCCTGAAATATTGGTTACCCGCTCGCTCTTTACGCAACTGATAAACTAATTTTGATTTTTTTTCTTTAACGAAAAATATTTTATTTTGTATCGTATCTAAGGAAATTTTGTTATAAGAAAATAGTAGAAATCCAATTTCCGAAGCTTGACTATCTTTTGTTGACGAACTTCCACAATAGTAAAGTTTATTAATGCTATGTGCAATGTTTATTTATCTATGGTCAATATAGGTATAATTATAAATTTAGAAGATTACTGTTTTTTTATACAAGATAGCCTATGTCATTCTGATGAAATAATTTGTCTATATGTTAAACGTTATAATTCGTCCAGTCGTTGTGTCATAAAATCGTAATAACAAACAGATGAATAGATGCAATTGCATTTATAATATTAGTATGCATTTATTTACCTTTGTTGAATTTTTAATAGCTATTTGCCATAAATATATATACAAATAGGTAGTCACGGGAATAGTATGTAATCATGTTTAGTATCACATCACATTAGTAAGTAGTTTTTGCCCGAGATAATTTGATTATTTGAAACAAAAAGTAGCCTAATTGTCTCTCTCCCTCCTCCCTAACTGGATTTC